GCTCGGCTGAGCACAGTTCAAAGCCAGTTGTCTGCCCCATGAAGTTCTCCTTGCAGTTTGTTCTAAATTGTTGTGTGGTGTCACTTAAGGATGTAAAGGGTTAACCAGTTACCTGGTAAATGTGCGCCTTACCGGCATGCTTATCAGGGTAGCCAGTTAACTGGTGGAGTGTGGCGGGCCCGGCCTGGCTGAAGCAGCCCCCCACTATGGGATCATAGTTCACCAGTTAAACATCGCGTTTGGTTAACTTTTTAACCAGGAATTTGCATCCCTAGTGTCACCAAGTGCTGTGGGAAGTGAGGATTGGCTTAGCCTGAATGGCTGGAACCTGGGAGCCTTCCAGAAAATGCAGTGCAAGATCTTGTTGATTCCCAGGCACCAGCATTTGCCAATTTCCAGCAGAGGTGCACGGTGCCCTGAGGTTCATAAATGAGCCTGTTTCCCGGCCAAGAAATCCAAATCTTTTGCTCTTGATAGTGTTGGTTATAACTGGGTTTGTGTCTACATCTATGAAGTGTCCTTGATTAAGCTATTGCTCGTAAGTGGCCAGTAAGTCTCCAAGAGAAAGCAAACGCAGGCTGTAGGGAGCTGATGTATGTTGCAGGGCTCGTGGTATGGACCTGTGATGCATGAGGGGTAGCATGGTGAGCTTGGAGTGAAGCCTGTATGAGGGAGAGAGAGGGTGTTTGCAGTGGGTGTTAGTAGGATATGGTGTGTGTGCACCCCTGTGTGGGAGAGAAGAGATGATGGAGTCTCCGTTTTATGTGCACGGGATCGGTGTGAAGTAACCTTTTCCCTGAAAGAGGAAGGGTGTTGCTGGCTGATGTCAGGCTCCCGATGTATCTTTAACACCATTCCTGCATGTCACCGTGGTTCTTTTCCCCGGCATGTGCATTTTGCTCTTGGAGCGGTGTCCCTCACCAACCACTGTCTGTCTTTGTCAGAATGATGGGCGGCTGCGGCTGAGCCGCCAGGGCGTCATCTTCAAGAACAGCAAGACAGGCAAGGTGGACAACATCCAGGCCTCGGAGCTAGCAGAGGGCATCTGGCGCCGCGTGGCGCTAGGCCACGGCCTCAAGCTGCTCACTAAGAACGGGCACGTCTACAAGTACGACGGCTTCAGGGAATCGGTGAGATTTTGGGTTGGCAGGCTCCCCTCTCCCCCAGGAGCACCCGTCCCACCCCCTGCCCGGACACCTGGGGGGAAGTTAAGTGGGTGGGCATGCTCAACCAGCTACAACAGCGGTGGAGAACCTAATGCCTGGGGCCCGGATGTAGCCCCTGGCTTGCCTAGATCCGGCCAGTGAAGGCTTGGGGCTCCCTTCCCAGCATGGGGGAGCCTGCGCTGGTGCTCCAGCCTCCCCACCATCTTCCTGCGGGGCTGGAGCACACAAAATCTACTAGCCTGGGCTGCCGTAGGCTCTGGTGTGTGAGGAATGTGGGGAGTGTCTTTCTTCTCAGTTGGCCATGTCTTTTTTTCTTTTTTGCTTCTCACATTTGAGAGGCCCCTGACTGATTTTTCTGTGGGTCAGCGGCCCCAACCCAAAAAAGGATTCCCCACCCCAAAGCTGCAAGGTGACAATTGCTTTTATCTGCCCCATGGTGTTAGTGCCCCTATGTAGCCCACACCCTCAGAAGCACTGGATGCTATCTAGCGCTGTGTACACACCTCCCTCACCCTGCCCTAAGGATTCTGTTTTTGGCCCAAACTGTCTGCCATGAACTTTAGCTTCCAGCCTTTCTCCGAGGCATCTCTGTTAATTAATTGCGTTTATTACGGTAATGCCGAAGGGGACTCGTTTCCTTAGGCACTATACAGAATAGTAGATAGTTGCTGAAGAACTACATGGACCAGATAGACGCGGTGTCAGGGCTAGGAGGGGAATGCACAAGCCCAGTGAACTGTGTGATGGCAGCAGATGTCTTGTTAGTGCCCTGGTGTTCTTTCCTGGCACATGTGGTTAGCAGGAGATCTGCCGAATAGAAAAGGGGGATGGGAACAGGGGAGAGGAGAGGGTGGAGCAGGTGTTGAGGCACGTTGAAGCGAAGCGACTGTTCCCACCCTCCCTCACAAACAGCTCCTCAGCACCAGGTAGAGAAAATCCTGTCAAGCTGCAGGGAGTTCTTTGAACTTGGAAGTTCAAAGATGCTTTGGCTGCATCTGCAGCTGCTCCAACCGGCTGGAGTCTCTGGCAGGCTCCTCTGCAGTTGCCAGTCATGTAATTGGGCGTGTCCCTGTGAGAGGTTTCAGTTCCACACGGATGTCCAGTAACTGGGCTGGTTACTCCCTCCTGCCCTCCCTTAGCTCTGCAGTCATGGTTCTCCCCCCATCACCCGCTTCCTGGCGCACGCTGTGTGTTGCAGCGAGCCATCTGAGATAGGACAGCGCTGGAGCTCCCCACTGCTGCTCTTCGTGTGCCCACAGCTCCCCCTGGGTTAGCAAGCAGTGGCCAGGCCGCTCTGGGAGGGAGCCTTGGTGTGATCTCACGGCCGTTCTCTGCTCCCCACTCAGGAGTTTGACAAGCTGTCAGAGTTCTTCAAGTCCCATTACCGGCTGGAGCTGGCGGAGAAGGACCTGTGTGTGAAGGGCTGGAACTGGGGGACCGTGAAGTTTGGAGGTGACTCTGAGACTGTCTTCACTGCTTGCGAAGCCTGGGAGGCATTTACTCATAGCCTGACCTGAGACAATGTAGCCGCACGTGCCCTGCTCTCACACCCAAAGGGGCGCTGGTCTGGCCTTGGCAAGCAAAGCGCTAGCCCAAGCGTCAGAGTGCCACGATACCTTGGGCCACTCCCTGCTCCTATGTGCGAGGCATTGGGGATGTCCAGTCTGCCTGGGCAGGTTAGCTGTCATCCTTCTCTGCCAGACACCGGAGCTGGAGGCTGGTGGAGAGGCTGCAAGCGGAGACCCGAGCAGAGGTAGACAGACAGCCCACTTCTGGTCAGGGGGCTGATGGGAAAGGATTGGAGGACTGTCATGTCTCAATGGGCATGCGCCCTGAGCTGTGTCTTGACGGCATCTACCTCCGGGTAGCAGGACAAATTAACAGTCCCCTGCAGCTCAGGCTGCTGCGCTGCTCGTGGCACGTGGCTGTGTGAACGCAGCAAGGGGCGCGCCCGTGACTGAGCTGGAGTTAAGCGTGTGCGGAAGGCCAGCTCTGGGAGAGGAGAGCTGGAGGCGCACGGCTCCTGCAGTGGGGGCTGGAGTCAGGCGTGGCTGGCGAAATGTGCTGTAGAGAGGGAGGCGCTTGTAGCTCCGCCTTCTCCTGCAGGGGGCGCCGCGTTGTGGGGGCTAGTTAGGGTGGTCAGGTGCTCCCTGCCGACTCACCGGGCTCCCCCTCCCTGCAGGCCAGCTCCTGTCCTTCGACATCGGGGAGCAGCCCGTGTTCGAGATCCCACTCAGCAACGTGTCCCAGTGCACCACGGGCAAGAATGAGGTGACGCTGGAGTTCCACCAGAACGATGACGCCGAGGTGTCGCTCATGGAGGTGCGCTTCTACGTGCCGCCCACGCAGGAGGACGGCGTGGATCCCGTGGAGGTGTGTGGCCTGAGTGGAGGTGGGAGCGGGCGGGCGGCGGGGCTGGGAGAGGAGTGATTGAGACTAAAGCCCCTCCCCCCCTCGTAGGCTTTTGCCCAAAACGTGCTGTCCAAGGCAGACGTCATCCAGGCGACAGGGGATGCCATCTGCATATTCCGGGAGCTGCAGTGCCTGACGCCGCGCGGCCGCTATGACATCCGCATCTACCCCACCTTCCTGCACCTGCACGGCAAGACCTTCGACTACAAGATCCCCTACACCACCGTGTTGCGCCTCTTCCTGCTGCCCCACAAGGACCAGCGCCAGATGTTTTTTGTGGTAAGGAGGATTGGGGAGCTGGCCGATCTTACCCCAGTGTGCCTGCTCCCGGGGGAAGGGAGGGGGAGGAGTAGGGTAGCCAGTGGATCAAAGCCTAGACCAGTTACTTGTAGTGTTGGGGTCTGAGAACTCTGGGGAGGGGACTGCCCTGTGGTACTTGGGGGTGTTGTACAGAGATAGGAGCAGGCTGGAATGGGGGAGAGCCCTGATCTGTGATCCCCATCCGTATCCTTGGCTTCCTTTCCAGATCAGCCTGGACCCTCCGATCAAGCAGGGCCAGACACGCTACCACTTCCTGATCCTGCTGTTCTCCAAAGACGAGGACATCTCCTTGACGCTCAACATGAATGAGTGAGTGGCCTTCCTCCCCTGGCCGGACCCTCCTCCGCCTCCTCCTGGCTCTGCCCTGTTCCCCTCGGTGACCCCCTCTCTTCTGTTCACTCCTGCTCTGCTCCCTGGCAGGACCATCCTGGCTTTATCCCCAGCCATCCCCGTCCTCTGCTAGCCTTGCTGTGCTCCTGGGAGGACCCCTCCAGTTCCATGTAGATCCCAGCCTTTGCCTGGCATGAGTCTCTGGCCATCTCCATCTGGGCTGGCTCCTTTCCGAGCCTTGGGGGTGGGGGGTTCTCCCCAGATGCTGTTGCCCAAGGACTAGGCATCTGCCTCCTTGGTGATCCTCTCGTCTCCGGGTGCTGAGGGCTCCCCATTCTCCTGTCTCTCTCTGTTGGTGTGGGAGCTCCTTGGTCATCCCGCGTTCCTAATGGTGCTGGGCTCTCTCCTGGCCCGTGTCCTCATGCTGCCGTTCTCCCCATGCCGTAGGGACGAGGTGGAGAAGCGCTTTGAGGGCCGACTCACCAAGAACATGTCCGGCTCGCTCTACGAGATGGTCAGTCGGGTCATGAAAGCTTTGGTGAACCGCAAGATCACCGTGCCTGGCAACTTCCAGGGGTGAGCGCATGGCAGGCAGGGAAGAGGGACATAGGGCCTTCCCCGCGAGGGGGCTCCTGTCGCAGGGTGCAGGTGCTGTCTGACTCGGGGGAGGGAACGGGACACGGGGCTCTTCCCTTCTGGAAGGCTCCACCTCCGATCTGGCGAGAGATGCTCTGCCTTGAGGTGGGGAATCAGACATGGAACGTTTCCCTCAAGGGGGCACCTGCTGTGAACCCGGATTGGCTAGTTTGGGGGAGTGGGGATGGGATACAGAGCCTGTTGCTAATTACTTGTTTAGAAATGACTCCCCTGCAAAGTCCTCTCCCTGTATGTCTGTCTCTGGCTCTGAAGGGGGGGGGGGGGATTTCCCCCATCCTTGTGAGTGGAAGGAGAGCTGTGCCTTAGAGATACATGCAACAGGTTCTCAGCCCTTCCCCCAACTGACTGCTGTCCCCACGGGAGGGTTTGTGCCTGGGAGTCTTGCTGGTGTAACCCCCTGTTTGTCCTCCCAAGGCACTCGGGAGCCCAGTGCATCACCTGCTCCTACAAGGCCAGCTCGGGGCTGCTTTACCCACTAGAGCGTGGCTTCATTTATGTGCACAAGCCCCCGGTGCACATCCGCTTCGACGAGATCTCCTTCGTCAACTTCGCCCGCGGCACCACCACCACCCGCTCCTTCGACTTTGAGATCGAGACCAAGCAGGGCACGCAGTACACCTTCAGCAGCATAGAGCGGTGAGTGTCAGTCCCCCCAGGCCACTGCGGTCTGCTCTCTGTCTTCTGTACTCATGGCTGTACCTGCCAGTTCTGGGGCGCCCTCCTCACCCCTGTGAAATAGCCCTGTCTCGTGGCCTTCACTTGTACTCTGCTCCCTTACTCAGCCCGGGGAAGCCTGTGACACCAGCAGTGTGGGGCTGCCATTTTCCACGTCATCACCACTCACTGCCCTCTTGCTCGCTCATGGGTGGGGGAGCATTATACCCTGCCTCCCTGTGACTCTCTCCCCACTGTTGCCCCTGCAGGGAGGAGTATGGGAAGCTGTTTGACTTTGTCAATGCCAAGAAGCTGAACATCAAGAACCGAGGCCACAAGGAGGTACCTACAGTGGAGTGGGGCAGGGTGCTGGCTGGGTCCCCTGTCCCGTCCTGACTGGGAGTCCCTCGATCACTGGTGGGGCTGGGTGAGGGGTTTTTCTCTCGCTGCAAATTCTGCCTCCTCACTTTCTCTTCTCTCCTTGCCCTTGTAGAAGAAAAAGGTCCGTGCGATTTCCCCTCCTCCTGGTGCAGGTCTCCTCTGCATGGCTGTGGTGCTCCCTACTAACCACAGTAACCCCGCATGAGCCATAGGTGGAAAGGAGGGGCCATGATTCCCTCCCCCCATCTCCTTGCTGAGTGGGCCCCACCTAACCTGGTTAACATTGCTCCTTCAGTTCCTGCCTGCAGCCTGTGCTCTGCGTGCTGGCATCCTTTCCCAGAGCGGGCTGGGGGCGGGGGGGAGGGGCATGCACCCAGGAGCATGCTGGGATTTGTAGTTCTCTGCACATAGTGGCGGGTGGTGGGCTTCTGCCCTTCCCCTCTGCTACGGGGAGGGTTGGAGAATGTTCCTCATGTGGCCTCCCCTTGCCCCCCGGGCAGTCTATGACACAGAACTACGATGAGTATGCTGACTCCGACGAGGACCAGCATGACGCCTACTTGGAGCGGATGAAGGAAGAGGGCAAGATCCGGGAGGAGAATGCTGAGGACAGCAGCGATGAGTCTGGGGAGGAGACTGGTGAGACCTGTGCCTGAGACTCCTCCCCTTGGCTTAGACCCCACCCCCAAGCTCCCCCTTGTCTGGCACTTGAGGCTCCTCCCCCTGCCTGAGAGTCCTGTTCCCAGTTGGTGTAAGGGAGATATTCCCATGATCTCTAGTCAGACCTTTGCTCCCTGTTGGGCTTTGGGAGCATCCCCATCTCCCTCCACCCAGGAGGCGAATCACTAGCGCATTCCCTTGGAACAGATTGATAAACTTTATAGTAAGTCACCGGGACCAGAGGGCATTCACCCAAGTGTTTTGAAAGAACTCAAATGTGAAATTGTGGAACTATTAACTATGGTTTGCGACCTATCCTTTAAATCATCTTCTGTACCCAGTGACTGGAAGATAGCTCATGTGATGCCAATATTTAAAAAGGGCTCTAGAGGTGATCCTAGCAATTATAGACTGGTAAGTCTAGCATCAGTACCGGGCAAATTAGTTGAAACTGTAGTAAAGAATAAAATTGCCAGACACCTAGATGAACATAATTTGTTGGGGGAAAAGTCAACATGGTTTCTGTAAAGGGAAATCATGCTTTACTAATCTACTATAGTTATTTGAGGGGATCAACAAGCATGTGGACAAGGGTGGGGGGGGGGAATCTGTGGATATAGTGTACTTAGATTTCCAGAAAGCCTTTGACAAAGTCTCTCACCAAAGGCTCTTAAGTAAAGTAAGTTGTCATGGGATAAGAGGAAAGGTCCTCTCATGGACTGATAACTGGTTAAAAGTCAGGAAACAAAGGGTAGGAAGAAAAGGTCAGTTCTCAGAATGGAGGGAGGTAACTAGTGAGGGGTAAACAGTGAGGTGGCAAAATTTGCAGATGATACCAAACTGCTTAAGATAATGAAGAACAAAGCAGGCTGTAAAGAGCTTCAAAAGGATCTCACAAAACTAGGCGACTGGGCAACAAAATGATACATGAATTTTAATGTTGATAAATGCCAAGTGATGCACATTGGAAAACATCATCCCACCTATACATACAAAATGATGTGGACTAATTTAGCTATTGCCACTCGAGAGAGATCTTGGAGTCATTGTGAATAGTTCTCTGTAAACATCCACTCAGTGTGCAGTGGCAGTCAAAGTAAAACTGAATGTTAGGAATCATTAAAAAGGAATAGAGCATAAAGCAGAGAATATCTTATTGCCTCTGTATAAACTGATACACCCACATTTTGAATATTGCATACAGATGTGGTGTCCTCATCTCAAAAAAGATAAATTGGCATTGGAAAAGGTTCCTAAAATGGCAACAAAAATGATGAGGGGTTTGGAACTGGTGCCAGGTGAGGAGAAATGGAAAAAAAAGCAGGGGGCGGGGGGAGGGAAGGTATGATAGAGGTCTATAAAATCATGACAGGTATGGAGACCGTGAATAAGGAAAAGTTATTTACTTGTTCCCATAAGGTAAGAACTAGGGGGTCACTAAACTGAGTTACTAGGAAGCAGGTTTAAAACAAAAAAAGGAAGTATTTCTTCACATAGCGCAGTGTCAACCTGTGGAACTCCTTGCCAGAGGATGTTGTGAGGACCAGGACTTTCACAGGGTTCAAAAAAAGAACTGGATAGATTCCCGGAGGTTAGGGCCATCAATGGCTATTAGCCAGGCTGGGTAGGAATGGTGTTCTTGCCTCTGTTTGTCAGGGCTGGGAATGGGTGACGGGAGGGATCACTTGATGAGTCCCTGTTCTGCTCATTCCGTCTGGGGCACCTGGCATTGGCCACTGTTGGCAGACAGGACACTGGGCTAGATGGACCCTTGGGTCTGACTGTGCATGGCTGTTCATATGTTCTTATGTTCCTTTCAGATGAGTCGTTTAACCCCGGGGAGGAGGACGAGGAAGTTGCAGAAGAGTGAGTAGAGGGAGGGGGGAGAAGCTGCCTGGCATAGGCCACTTGGGCTGTGACCTCGCCTTGCGGCCCATTCTCGAATGGGAACTCTCCCTGCAGGGGAAGCGGGGGCCAGATGTTGCAGGCGTAGTGCCAGCCTGCCTGTGGCACTAGGGGCTGCCACCCCCAGCAGGTGGCTCACTCGGGGGCAGTCCATCGCCACGTCCTCCAGAGTAGCGCCAGGAGCACCATGCAGCTGACGGCTTTACAGGGCGGACTCTCGTCCCTGCTCGTGCTCCGGTGTGCTAGGAGGCTGGTGCTGCACTCTGGGGTCTTGGTCTCTGGCCCTTTTCACTGGGTTAAGGCCACGAGACCCATTAACGTTCCTCAGGGCATAGAGGGATCCACAGGAGCAAACGGGGACGGCAAGTCCTGGGCTGAAGATTTCCTGCCATCCACGCCTGCTGGGCTGGTGTCCCCGATCCACGGCATCCAGTCCAAGCTCAGCCTGTAACCAGTCCCTTGGGCCAGGGCAGGCCTTCAGGGCTCCCAAACCCAGCCCTGGGACCCCAGCAATCCCTGTCTGACTGGGGCTCCCCGCAGCAAATCCAGCCAAGCTGCAGCCCTGGAGAGGTTGGGACCATCCCTGTGGGGGCTCTGGGCTGTCAGTGATACCCGTAGTGACAAGAACTGCCTTCCCAGCCCCGGGGGGAGCAGCACATTAGTCGCCTGGCCCATGGGCTCGGAAAGGCCTTGCGGGTCCCACTTTCTTGCTGGGTTCTCCGTTGATGTGGGTCAGTTTCCGCCAGCCCTCTGCTGACCCTTCGTACCGTCCCAGCCAGCTATGAGACCTCCCCCCAGCGGGTTCATAGGTCAGATTTAATCTTTTTGCTTCCCTGGGGAGCCGTGCAAAGTACAGAGGGAAACTGAGGCATGGCACGAGGTTCATGACAATGTTACAGAACGTTCCCACTTGGTTCCTATGTCGGGAATGGGGAACCCATTGCCTGGGAAGTGGCCCCGGAGGCAGCAGGCCTGTGCTGTGCCCCACGTTCTGCTCAAAGGGGCCTGCATCTTTCCAGTGGGGACGTCTGCGCTGGGCATTGCCACTCAGTCTGCTGCGCACTGGGACAGGGACAGGAGCAGTTGTGGGGTGCCTGGCGATGCCCCTTGCCACCCTGTTTCTAGGGACAGGTGAGGAGGCTGTGCCTGTTGCCATGCCCAGGCCGAACTGAGAATGCTCCAGGGACGCTGGCTGGAGGGGATAGGGTGATCTGCCCATGTCAGGCCCTGCTGAGCTGGGGGCTGCCGGCCCTGGGAGCGGTGGCATTTGGTGGGAAGGAGCTGACTTTGGGCGACGGTTCCCTCCCACAGGTTCGACAGCGAAGTCTCAGCCAGCAGCGATGGCGGCAGCGACCGGGAGGAAAAGAGGAAGCCAGCCAAGAAAGCCAAGATGGTCAAGGAGCGCAAGCCCCGCAAGAAGCCGTCCGAGGTGAGAGCACTGCTGTGGCCAAGGGGCTGTATGGATCCCGGCTGCTGGCTTGGAGAAGTGGGACCCTCTGCCCACGGCACGCAGGCCATGAGCAAGCGGCCTCTGCAGTGGGGAGCTCGTGTGAAGTGCTGAGTGACTCCCCTCCATGGTATGGAGCTCCCCAGCTCTGTGCTGCTCCCCCAAGCCCAATCTCCCCTCGCAGCCTCCCCACATTCCCCCTGCAGCCAGGCCTGCTGGTTCTGTGGGGCTCTGTGGCCCTAGCTCCCTTGTCTTATTCTCATGGTGCCTGGTCGCTGGGAGCGTGGTCTGGCTGCTGTGGTATGGAACGCCCAGCCCCGTCTTACTGGGCGGACGAGGGACTCTTACTGTGGGGAGAGCCTCTGGTTTTAGGAACCGTAGGGCCATGTCTCAACGACTCTCCTGCTTGTTCTCTCTCTGCACCTGCCGCCGTCTCTCGCCAGAGTAAGAAAGGGAAGGACCCTAATGCCCCCAAGAGGCCCATGTCTGCCTACATGCTGTGGCTGAATGCCAGCCGGGAGAAGATCAAGTCCGACCACCCCGGCATCAGCATCACGGACCTGTCCAAGAAGGCTGGGGAGCTGTGGAAGGGCATGTCCAAGGAGAAGAAAGAGGTGGGCTCGGATGGAGCGGGAGACATGTCCTGGATGTGTGTGGTTGTGTGGGGGTGGGATGGTAGGGGTAGTTGGGGGTGGGCCAGGCTTGGGACAATGTTGGGGAACTGAGTGGACATTGCTGGTCGGAGGCCACCTCAGCATGGGACAGGTGCTGTGTCTGGTGTGGGGAGGGACTGCGGGTAGGGATGGGCATCTGTTGCTCTGGCTTTGGGGGGCCAGTGAAGTGTGCCAGGGTTGTTTTTCTAATGAGGGTCAGATGTGATATGAGGGTGTGGGGGGGAGAGGGATGTGGGGGACAGGTGAGCATGGAGCGGTGTTGCCAACTCTGTTCTGGTGGCAGGAGTGGGATCGCAAGGCAGAAGATGCCAAGAGGGACTACGAGAAGGCCATGAAGGAATACAGCGAGGGGGGCAAATCGGAGAGCTCCAGGAAGTGAGTTTGCGGGGGCTGTGGGGCCGGGTCCTGAAGGGCCGTGGCCCTGTCCACAAGGGGGAGGCAGCAAGCTGATGGGGAAAGGTATGGCCCGTGTGGAGAGCGAGGAGTGGAGGATCATCCGTTTCCTCCAGCCCTGGGCTGCAGCTGGCGCTCAGCCAAGGGGCTGGGGGTGACCTCTCTGCTGGTTTGCTGTCCCCCCTCCCGCGCAGGGAGAAATCCAAGAAGAAGCAACATCAGAGCAAAGGGAAAGCCGAGAAGAAGGCGGCTCCGTCCAAGGCTCTGTCCAAATCTCCCGTCAAGCCGCTGGGTGAGAGCTTCAAGAGCAAGGAGTTCGTCTCCAGTGACGAGAGCTCTGGCGACAACAAGAAGGAGGTAGGTGCCGGGCAGGGCAGGATGGGCCCAGCCCGACGACTGTGGGGGGTCCTGTGTTAACCTGCTTCCCCTCCCCCCCCACAGGACTCTGAGGAGGAGGAAATCGCCAGCACGCCCCCCAGCTTGGAGGACTCTGCATCTGGCTCGGATTAGAGCTGTCCTGCCCCCTCCCTCCCTTTAGCCCTGCCCTGTTCCGGATGGCACAGGTCATAGGTCGCTGAGGTGAGAACTAGATCCCCCTCCCCCTATCCCTTCTGCCAGGGGCGGGGCTGGAAGGACGACACAGCTGCCCCATTGACTGGACCCAGCCCTGCTTCTGGCCCTTGCTTGCCCCCTTCTCCCTCGCGGGGCTTGTGCTGAACTCTGGAGAACGACGGGGTGCTAGAAAGCAGGGGAAGGGGTGCACCTCCAAGCTGCCGGAGCCCCACTAGGCCCTAGCAGGGGGCCCTCCCAGCGTGCTGCGGGGAGCCGGCTGGGCGGGGTCTGTCCCCTGGCCTGTAGCCGGGCTCCCTCAGCATTTTTTATGTTCTGTTTATTTTTGTATTTCTCGTCTGTTCACGTGGCAATTGGGTGGAATAAAAACCAAGCGACTTTGGGTGGAGCTTCTGTCTTGAGTGTGGCTGGGGGACAGATGGCTGGGTCTCCTAGTGCAGAGGGAGCAGGCGAAGCCCCACGGGGTGGTCGTCTCCTCCCCACGGCCGCATTGCTGGCTGCCATCCACAGGAGCGCTCCTGCTCTGGGGTGGGGCTGAATTTGGGCCAGTGCCTTATCTCACTTCATTCCAGTAAGCTGTGGCCTTAACGGCATTAAAGGCCATCGGACACCTGTGGGAGCTGCCTAAGGAGGGAGGCGGTCGATAGCAATGAGGTTTAGTCAAGTGTTAGGGGCTCCCTCTTCTCCCCTGTCCGTGGCCTGGGCCATTAACAGGCTTAGCCGGCAGGGAGGGTTGTTCCCAAGATGGCTTTATGTGGGGGAGCCTGCCCCATACCTCCCAGTGGATGCTGGGTCCTGGAGCGGAGCACTTCCCCTCTGCCTCCTGGCCAAACCCCCCAGCCCGCTCCTGCACCTTACCTCCTGCCCTGGGGGCAGCGTGGGGGGCTCAGAGCCTCATCGCTGTCCCTTCTGGGCCTAGAGCTCTGCCCAGCTCGCACTGCCCTGAGGGTGGGGGAAGGGAGCGCGAGCGGCGGCTCATTCGTCTCCATTGCGGCCCTTGCTGCCAGGAGAACTAAGCCAAGCTGGGGGCAGGAGGCCTGATGTGATCAGAGCCTATTACCGGACCTCAGTGCTCCATTAAAGTGTCTCTGCCCCCCACTTCCAGTCACCTGTGCGTCAGCCCGTGCACTCTGCCTCGCTCTAATTGAATCAGCCCGCAGCGCCGAGAGGGCAGAGAGCCCTGTTGGCCTTGGGAGGGGGAGGAATGCGCCCCAGGGGCCGTGGCTTTCATAACCAAGGCTGGAGCAGGTTAATTGTGCAGATGGAAGCTGGCCCTCGCGGGAAATCCTCCGGGGTCCCATTTCCTTTGGCCTACTTTCTGTGGGTTATTTACCAGAAGTGCTCAGCTGCCAGGAGTAAATGGGAAGGCAGACTGCAGGCAGCCACGGCAGTGCCTCTCTTCGCGCACCGTGTGCGGCACTAGGGCCGGGCCCAGCAAGGGCGTGGAATCGAAAACCAGAAGGGACCTCTGACCACCGGGATGTGACAGCCCCTACATCCAATGCCCAAAATCAGACCAAAGCATTAAGCCGCCAGAGACTGGGCCAGTCCTCGGGCCACAGCGGCTGTGCCTTTAATCCTCTACTGTCACATCCGGCTGGAGCGTAGGGTAGACCCGACAGCCTCTGCCCTTCCTGCATTTGTCCTGCGATTCCACCGCAGCTGGGCCTACACTGCTTTGCCCTGGGAGCTGGGCCATGTAAGCAGCTGCCCACGTGCAACTGGGAGCTTTCAGGAGGTGTGGCTGCCTGGCAGGGCAACATGCAGAGATGACTAGAGTTGGCTGCCCTTTGGGATGAAATTTACAGTGAGACTTCCCAGGTGCTGTGTTAGGTTCTTCCTCAAGGCAGGGATGCTCAGCTTTGGTCCTTGGGGACTCCACAGCTATGTCTACACTGGCAGGTTCTTGTGGAAGAACCTCTTGTGCAAGAACACGTCCACACAGCCATGTGCTTTTGCGCAAGAGTATCCATGGCAGTGCGGACACTCTTGCATCGGAAAGCTCTGACGGCCATTTTAGCCATAGGGCTTTCTTGTGCAAGAAACTCCTGCCGCACGTCCACACTGCTCTCTTGTGCAAGAACGCTTGTGCAAGAGCACTTACACTTGTTAGAAAAGAGCGTAGCTGTTGCGCAAGCAGCCCTCTCTTCCTATGCTTAACTGTAAAGCTTGTGCAAGAGTGAGGGGGCCGTGTGGTCAGTGCGCAAGAACCTCCGTTCTTGTGCAAGAACCCACCAGTGTAGACATAGCCTAACAGTCCAGGACTTCAATCCAACCTGTCTTCATCTGAAGAAGTGGGCTGTACCCACAAAAGCTCGTGATGCCATCTACATGTTTTGTTAAGTCTTTAAAGTGCTGCCGTGCTATTTGTTGTTTAAGTTTATTATGTATGGAAAAGAGTTGGCTTTAAAATCGACACTGCATACTACTGAGTACGAAACACTTAAATGCCCTGATTCATACTAAAGTCTCTGGCCTGTGAAAACTTTTAAACAGCTGGGCTATGTCTACACTGGCGGGTTCTTGCGCAAGAACCCGCAGTGCGTCCACCTGGCCCGCCCGCTCTTGCGCAAGAAGTTTTACAGTGAAGCGTGGGAAGAGAGGGCTTCTTGCACAAGAGCTATGCTTTTTCGAATAAGTGTAAGCCCTCTTGTGCAAGAGCTCTTGCGCAAAAGGGCAGTGTGGATGTGCGGCAGGGGTTTCTTGCGCAAGACAGCATCCACACTGCCATGGATGCTCTTGCACAAAAACACGTGGACGTGTTCTTGTGCAGGAGCTCCTGTGCAAGATGTTCTTGTGCAAGAACCCGCCAGTCTAGACATAGCCAAGTAGTCCTGTGGCACCTAAGAGGCAAACAAATATATAGCTAGTATCATGAGCTTTTGTGAGCACAACCCCCTTCAGATGAGATGAAAGCTCATAGTACTACAAATATGTTTTTGTTCCTCTCTGAGGTTTTTAAAATTACAGACTAACCTACAGGTGCCTCCAGAGAGACTTTTTATCTCTGGCCTATAGGGATTCTCTATGCAGTGCAACTGAAAACCAGCAGATTTGAATAAAAATAATTTGCTGGTTGCAACAAAACCTTAGATGGTTGGAGATCCCCCCAGGACATGAATTGGTCGAATAGGGTTTACGTTTTAAACTGTTGTTTTGCAGAACCTGCAACCTTTCAGTCAGGTCCTGCTTGTTGTTTGGACAAGCTGTGTGCGTGTGTGTACACACCTCCACTCCCCTCTTTACCCTTGCTGCCGGCAAAGCCTGTAATCTCCCTAGTTAAGTACGCAGGCTTGGAAAATGGCTTTCCCAGTTCTAAGGCCTCTGTGTGAGGTCCCGAGAACCAATAGTTTAAATCTTTATCTATTTACTCACACTGAGTGAGAGGAAAGTAGGAATGTGTGTGACCAATAGCCTACTAGTGCCTGAGTCTCTGGACATGCCTGAATATGGGTGAAACAGAACAAGAGCTTTAGCAGATATGGACAGACATCCTCTATCCCAGCTATGGCCCTGGTGATTGCAGGAGAGGTTAATTAGGGAACAGACTTACAAAGTGGGCTGCCTGCAAGGGGTTTGGAGATTCCTGCCTCTGGCCCTGCCGGTCCAGCATTAAAAGCATGCCCCTCTTACAGCCAGGCTGCACTGGAGAGTTTTAGGGGCACAGGGGACAAGGCTGGGTGAATAATGAAGATGTCGCTGGAGCTGCCCAATGAGGGCTGCAGTGATTTTAATTCCCAGGGGGGCTACTGACTCTGGAGTTACCCCTCCCAGCCTGGGCACGGGGGGGGGGGGGGGGGGGGGGGCCAGGCAGGCAGGCATGGAAGTGCCTGGCATGTTACCAGCTCGGTTGAACACAGACACGCCCCACATGTGAGCCTGGGGCCAGGCGCGCCCTCCCCACCTCGGGGTCCTGGCAAGCAGAGGCCGGTTCGGGCGGGAGGGGGAGGAGGAATGAAAAGGGCAGGCTGTAATGATCGAGGGGCGGGTATTCCAGTCACAGCTGGGGGGTGGGGGGCAGGAGCGGGGCCTCTCTAACCCCTCCCTCCACGGCACATCCTGCCCCATGGGTCGATGGCTTCAGCAGGGTGACACGTGGGAACGGGCGGTGTCCAGCGCGGGTGATTTGCATAACTCATGAATATGCAGCAGAGGGCGGAGGACCGCCCCGCCCTTGTTTTGCTTCTCATGAATATG